TGCATGAACAGGTCCAAAACAATTAAGTTTTCTGAGTAAAGCAAAAAACACTCACGTGAGACCTGAGGTTTTTAGCAGGCTGTATTTTAACAGGTGCCTCATTTTTTTGGGTAACGCTGCCTTAATATAACACAGTCAGCTTGGCAGTTGCAAAATTTATGGGCCCATCCAGAGATTTGATTTGGTGGGTGGGGGTGGGGGTGTGGGGAGGGAGGGGGAAAAAGAAAAAAGGAGAAAAAAAAAAAGAAAAAAAGGTAAAAGCTGCGTGAAAAACTCGGGGAAAAAAGACCAAGGTGAATCCCTCTGTTGCCCATCCCAGATGCCCAGTGTTGCCCATCCTCTCTTACAGAAGCAGTGATCTACCTCTGCCAGTAAAGCCCTTGGAAAAAGTTAATTTAGCAGCAAATGGTCAATTCCGTGCGGCCAAAGTCGTTTGTTTGAGGGGTTTTTTTTGATTTTTTTTTTTTTGTTTGTTTTTTTTTCCGTGGAAAAAAGGTGGAATTTTTTTACACTCGCAGTGGCAACGCAGCAGCCTCACCGTGTGAACGGGAATGAACCCTTGGGATGCTCTTTTTTTTTTTTTTGTTTTGTTTTTAATCATGGTTTCCTTGATCAGTCTTGATCGACACATTGACCCTGTGGATGAAAATGGGTTGGGTTTTTTTTATTTTATTTTTTTTTTCCTCTATGGTTTTTCTTTCTAAGCTCAGTAATTGGGAGAAGTTTACAGGATTCAGAAGGCTGTCACCTTTAGAACCAGGAACGCTGAGTTTAGCAATATATATATATATTAAAAAAAAAAGGAATCCAGTACTTACTGCTGTCTAGGAATTAATTATAAGGGTGATATCAAACCTGGGGTAACATTTCGTGAGCGCCTTTAGCGAGCGCCAAAAAAGAAAAAAAAAAAAACAAAACCCATCCAAAAAATCAAAGCAGTTCAAAAAAATAATAATTATAATAATAATAATCTCCATCGAGAAGAAATCATTAAAAAAAACCACAAAACATACACACACACACACAAAAAAATAATCCAGTGCTTCTGCATACTGTGTTATGTTACAGTCCAGTTTTGTGTGCTTTACTACACAGTTTGGTTACAGGACTTCTGTGCATTGTAAACATAAACAGCATGGAAAAGGTTAAATACCTGTGTTCAGATTGTAAGATCTAGTCCGGACTTGCTGTGTATATTGTAACGTTAAATGAAAAGACAAGCCCTTTGTATTATAGTCATGCAGTCTTATGTATGATAAACAGTTGAATAATTTGTCCTCAGACTCTTTACTGTGCTTTTTAAAA